CCTCTGTGCTACATACAGCGGCAGCCTGGTGGTGCTTTCCTTCCCAGAGAGTGGCCAGGCCTCTGTGTTGCCGAGGGCCAGGCCCTCTGTAAATCAGTGACCAGCCTTTGTGTTTCAGTGAGCTTTCCTATTTGCAGGGTGATGGCCCATTGAAGAGAGTGAATAGCATTGTCTAAGAAAGGGAAAGAAATGGAACTTGCCCTGTTTGTATCTAATAAGGGCACAGTGTCTGCTGTGGTGTGCTCCTGGGTTCTGAGAAGAGGAGCTGTAGTGGCAGGTCTGTAGGAACCCTGACCCAGGTCTAGAAGGACCCCCAAGAGATGCTTGCATGGTACCTTATGATTGGCCAAGCCTGGAAGCCCCTACCCTCTGCAGAGTCTTCTTCAAAGGGACCTCCTGGCCAGCAAGGAGGCAAGCAAGGCACTGGCCACTGGTGCAGGGCGGTGGTGTCAGAGCCACATCTAGGGAGGAGTATGGAGGAGAGGGTCTTCTAGAATTTTGTAGTCTCTCTTCCACTCCAAGGGGAAAATTAGGAGCAGAATGGGAGCCAGTTTCATTGACCTTGAACATCCTGCCAGTCTTGGTATAGGGCGCTTGAGTCAATCCTAACTGAATTTGAGCAAAACAAAGAAAATCACAGGCATTCTGAGTGTTTGAGATATATAACCCATACCTATCATGTGAGAGGTCATAGGCTCTTCTTGACTTAGCACAGTAAAAAATGGTCCAATGGCAAAGCATTCATGATAAGAAATGAACAAAATTTGACTCATAATCCTATTCTCATTTTAGAGCAAAAAATTATAATTAGAGAAACAAAATATATCTCACCCCCTCAGAATAACAAAACCTAATGTGAATCCCTTCACTGGCATGTGTGCACCTTAAGCCCAAGTCCTGACAGTTCAGGAACAACGGGCTGAGATCGTGGTGCAGTGTGAATTGAGTACAGTGGGGCCTCGAATAACATCGTTTTGTTCAATGTCATTATATATAACAACGATGAGAAAAATCAGCCCGGCAGCGGCCACTGTTTATGTGGAGTATGTACTTTCTTCCCATGCCTGCGTGTGTTTTCTCCAGGTCCCCAGGTTTCCTGCACATCCCAATGTTAGGTGAATTGGCGTGTCTTAAGTTGTTCCAGTCTGAGTATGTATGTGTGTGGTCTGTCCAGCATGGGTCCTGCCACACCCTGAGCTGCTAGGAGAGGCTCTGGCCACCTACAATCCTGAATTGGAATAAGTAGATTGGAAAGTAATTCTTTTTCTTTTTTTTTTTTTTTTTTTTTTTTTTTTTTTTTTTTTTTTTTTTAATATATTTTATTGATTTTGTACAGAGAGGAAGGGAGAGAGATAGAGAGTCAGAAACATCGATGAGAGAGAGTCATCGATCAGCTGCCTCTTGCACACCCCCTACTGGGGATATGCCCGCAACCAGGGTACATGCCCTTGACCGGAATCGAACCCGGGACCTTTCAGTCCCCAAGCCGACGCTCTATCCATTGAGCCAAACCGGTCCCGGCCTTTTTCTTGTTTTCTATGAATCTTAAGTGTGTATATAGCTCACATTTATTTCAATGTTTAATATTAGAAGTGTTTTGATTACTTATTTAGAAGTTTGAAGATGTTTTTGTGACCGGAAATATGCTGTCGGAACTTAACTCTTTTTTATATCAATTAGCTTATGGTAAAGTGGTTCTTTACATGTCATTTTGCTTCAAGTCACAGTCTATAGGAGCCTATCTATGGTCTTCTGTTTTTTAATTTTATTTTATTTTTATATTTTTATTGATTTCAGAGAAGAAGGGAGAGAGGGAGAGAGAGAGATAGAAGCATCAATGCTGAGAGAGAATCATTGATTGACTGCCTTCTGCATGTTCCCATAGGGAGTTAAGCCTGCAACCCAGGCACAGGCCCTGATCAGGAATCGAACTATGTTCTCCTGGTTCATAGGCCAATGCTCAACCACTGAGCCACGCCGGCTGGGCTATCTGTGGTGTTAAGTGAAGACATATGATACTGGTCCAGCACCCGGCCTCCTTCCTTCAGGGTCCTTGCAGGAATGACATGGAAGGCCATGGAATTCGGTTGTGCATATTTCCAAGAACTGCTTATCAGCAACCTCCCAAGTCAGTTTTTAGGGATCAGCAAAATTTGATTTTCACAAACTAAAATTGGTCCACTGCTAGTGTTACCCAGAACTCTCAGTCGTTCAGTGCTTTTCTTTGTCTAGCTGTGAAGGCTCCCATCCAGGCCATACCCCTCATACCTCCATACAACTCCCTGCTCCAGCCACAGAGCATCTTGTGGTCTGAACAACTGATAGCAGTTTCTGCTCTGTGGTCCAAGATGAATCATTTATAGCACTACTGCTAATGCAGATGGGCCCGTAACAACCATCGCCTAAAAGGAAGCTATGCTTCTCATTGAGTGACATGTTGATGTGCAGAATTCTTTATCTTGAAAAGTGGGAGAGGGCAGGTAGATTTGGAATTTTTTCTCTGCCTGAGTGGGCTGCAACCAAAATAGTTTCAGTATAAGATGTCATCTTCTCAGTGGGGTAATGACAATTGTCAAAACTCTCCTTTTGTGCACTTAATAGCTATACTTTCAATTGAAGGTAAAGTATACCTCAATTAAAAAAAAAAAACAAAAACTGCAAAACAAGCATAGGAGGCCAGAGAAGGCTCTTGAAAGTGATTAGTCTTCGTGGGAAAAGAGGTGAGAATGGGGAAGAGGCTGGGCCAGGAACTCATAACCTCAACGTAAAAACAAGGAAACATCAAGCAAACCCCAAATGAAGAAAGTTCTGTTTACAAGAAAGAGAGCAGTGTGTTCTTAAAAAAAGGTCAGTGTCATAAAGACAAAGAAAGGTTGTGGAAAGGCTCCAGATTAAAGGAAGCTAAAGAGACATGATGACTAAATGCAACACCCGAGTAGACTGGATTCCGTGTCAGGGAGGGAGAGGGATGCTTTATAGATCATTATGGGGTCAAATGACAATGCGAATATAGACAGTACATTAGATAACAGTATTGTCAACGAAGGTTATGAAACAAATAACTGCAATAGTGTAAGACAATACACTATTCTTAGGAAATACATATTCTGAGTATTTAAGGGTAAAAGGCCATTTTGTATATAATTCACGCTAAAATAGTTCAAAATATAACATGTATGCATGCGTGTATAAAGAATTTCCTTATTGCTTACCTTGGGGAAAACGAAACCAAGTGCAGGTTTGGGTCTTGTCCACAAGGCTGATTCAAGGTTCGGCAAGTGTTTTCCCAACATTGACATCTTCAGACAAGGAGGACCTTATCAGATACTGCCCTTCAGCCTGTTAGTCCTGAAACCCACATCACACCTACAGCTGACATGAGAGAACCTTGACCCCAGGTCAGGCCACTGTTGCCTGGAGATGAACACAACCCGGAGAGGTCTACGCATGGGGACATTGGCAGCTGCTCAGTCATTGCATGTGCGTGGTTAAGGGAGAAGGGTGTGGGGAGGAGAGCGCATAAACCATAAAATAAATGTTACCAGCAGGTGAATCTGGGTAGCGAATATTAAGGCTGTTCTTTATACAATTTTTTCTTTTTAGTGCTTTTTTTCAAATTTGAAATCTTTTTTTCAAATAAAAAGTCTTTTTATATATTTTTTTTATTTTTAAATATATTTTATTGATTTCCACAGAGAGGAAGGAAGAGAGATAGAGAGCTAGAAATGTCGATGAGAGAGAAACATCGGCCAGCTGCCTCCTGCATACCCCCTGCCGGGAATGTGCCCACAACCAAGGTACATGCCCTTGACTGGAATCGAACCTGGGACCCTGCAGTCCGGACTGACGCTCTATCCACTGAGCTAAACCGGTTTTGGCAAAAGTCTTTTTATTTTAAATAACACACACTTGTTATTACACGGGGATGAGGGAGTCGGGTGGAGTCCCAGGGCCTTCGCAGTATCAGCATGTGTCCAGAAGGCACTGGCCGCCAGTTCAGGCTCGAGGCAGCATTCAGAAGATGGTAGTTATCATGACAGTTTTATGGCTTTAATAGTCATAAACGGATCATTCTCAAGCAATAAAAGCTAGATTGCTTGCTTGTGTGACAGGCCTGGGAGAATGGGGAGGATTTCCTTATTGCTCACTCAGGAAAGAAGAGTCCAGGTTCTCTATTCCCAGGGCCAGCTGGAGGTTGGGCAAATACTGTTTTCAACATCTGTCCTCTGAATAAGCAGGATGTTATCAGGCGCCCTCCTTCAATCAGTAACTTCGGAAAGCTCACCTTATTCCCAGAGCTGATTCATTAAAACTTTTACTCAGATCACTGCACTTGGACAGGAGTGTGGCCCAGGCAAAGTTTATGTTGGGACAAGTACATCTAGTTTGCCTTGTGCCAGAATATCCCCGGTGACCCCGGCCGTGTTGTGATTTGGAAGAGGAAAGGGTGTCCAGGGATGTCTCAGTGGGCTTTAAAGGCCACAGTATCTGACCTTGCTCTGAGCTCAGAGGGCTCTGTGCCCCCAAAAGTGGTCACTAAAAAAGCTTTTGAAAAGGATGGGTGTGGAGATCCTATAGGAAAAGTTAAAGATCTTAAAACACACACACACACACACACGCACACACACTACGTGCTAGATTTTCCAGTCTCTGCTTCAAGAAAGAGGTTGGTGTGCCTTCTCATAGTTGATCCTAGGAATTCTACAGTCACATCTGTGAGAGAGATACATTAATGGTTGACCAGCAGCCCCTGAACATTCTAAGGCAACTGGTGCTTTATCACCTGGGTAGATTGTCTCTATCTGGCTGTTCATGTTGGCAGGTTTCTCTATTGGGATTCCGGAATCCTGGTTGAGCTTCAAGAAGGTCAGAGGTTTGGTAGAAACCAGTGGGCCACCTGAGAGGGAACTGTCAGTGGGCTGGGCTGGCTCTAGTGCCAGAGAATAGCCAGTCTCTTGCCCCCTGGGTCACTTGTCATCTTACCTGCCCTGTCTTTGCAGCCAGCCTCAGTTTGAAGCCCAGAGCAGTGGCTCTTGGGGAGCAGCCAGCCTACCAGGGTCCCGTGCACTGCATTGCAACCATCGTGCGGACTGAGGGCCTGGCAGGGCTATATCGGGGTGCCGGTGCCATGATGCTGAGGGATGTCCCGGGCTATTGCCTCTACTTTATCCCCTATGTGTTCCTGACCGACTGGATCACACCTGAGACCTGTGCAGACCCCAGCCCCTATGCTGTGTGGCTGGCAGGTGGCGTGGCAGGTAAGACAGCAGCATTGATACCTTTCCCTGTGCTGGCATCGCAGTGGGACAGTTGGGTTGGCCTACCATGCCCTACTCAGCCCTCATCCAACAATTCCATGTTAAATACCTACTGTGTGTCAGAGAAAGGGCTAGGAAAGCAGGACAGTCCCCCACTTTCTCCCATCTCCTCTCCACTGGACCTGTGGGGATGGCAAGTCCTTCTTTGGGCTTTTTCAACTTTCAGTCAGAAGATACATTTTGAGCACTTACTCTGTGTCAGGTGTTACCGAGCTTTTCAAAAGAAATTAGTTACTACAGTTCACCATTTTTTTAATATTGACACACTATAAACCTTCCTCGTGCGAGTGTTTCGTTACCTCCAGAAAGTAGGAATCAGTCTTCCCTGTTTTAGGATTAGAAAGATCAGGTTCAGAGAAATTAAGTGGCCAACCCAAGGTCCCACGGCCAGTGCAGAGCTCAGCAGGGACTCTGCATCAGAAAGACACAAGTTCAAATCCACACTTACTCATTTCATGACCATGGACCAGAACTTAACCTCCCTACTCAGAACTCCCACTGCATCCCCCTGTCATGTTAGGTAGAAGTCGGTGTCTTTACAGTGGTGTTTAAGGCTCTCTGCCATGGGCCACCTGTTACCCACCGGCACTCATTCTCTGCTTCCGTGTCGCTTCTGGGCTTGGCCCCACTGGTCTCTCTGCTACGGGCTGTCCTGACTCCCACTAAGGGCCTCTGTGAGGTAGACAGGCCGCCAGGGACTTTGACAAGCCCCATTTGGTCAAGAGAAAGTATGGAAACCTGACTGAGTGGGACAGAGAGAGTGGGATAAAGGAAATTGGAGAGCCCAGAACCTGGGAGGGACTTGACTGCTCCAACAGGGCAGAGAGAAGTGCAGCATAGCTAGAGGGGCCTGGGAGTCCAGAAAGAATGCTTTTATTTATTTATTTACTTACTTACTTACTTACTTATTAATTTATTAAATTAATTGGGGTGACATTGGTCAATTTTGAACATGGAGAATGCTTTTTAAGAGGCTGATACGTGGCCTTTGCTGCTGAGAGGAGAAAATTGTCTTTCTTCCTTCTCCTCCTCCCCATAATTAGCCATGTGTGAAATTCTGCCAGCACATAATAAAGCCCAGGCACCAGTGTTTTCCCTCACTCCCACTGCCCCCATCGCCTGAGGCTGGCCACTCCTAATATGTGCTCAGGAAGTCCTCGCTGGCTGAAGACAGACAAAGCCCTACCTGCTCTCATTTCCGGAAAGAGCAGGTGTGAGTGGCCTGGCAAGCAAACCTCCTGTAGTGCCCTTGCCCTTGGGGTGAGGGACAGGGAGCGTGCCAGGGGAAGCGGCCTGTTACCCTGACCTGAGCAGAAGGAAGAGAGGTCCAGAGGGCGCCCTGGCACTGTGGCCTCGGTGGCTGGAGGGAGGCCAGGATGAGCAGAGTTTGGGGTTCCTCTTTGGGGAGCCTCTTGGCAGCAATTACAAAACTTGCAAACCAGCTGCCTCGATCTTTGGCACAGGTTTGTTTTTCTCTCCCCATCCAAGAATGTGCTAGTTTTCGTGTTTACACAATAACCCGGTGCTGTTTTTCCAGAGTCCCTGCAAGTCAAACCAGGGCACCTGAGTGTGTCTAACCAGGATGACGCAGGGCACGAGGTCCTAAGACTTTGATTCCATATACCTGGAGGAGATAAGAGCTTTTTAAAGACCCGCTCCTACATTTCTCTCCAATCCCCAGGCTGGCCAGCACTTGTTTAGCTTCTGTGTTTTCAGGGTAGATCCTGCCTCTGGGGAGCTGTGAGCCCTCTTCCCCAGACTCAGCCTGGGCCTCCCCTGGTGCCTGGAAAGGTGCTGCAAGCACCGCTGAGCCTGTTCCGGCTTCTCCAATAAAAGCTTCGAAGAAAGGCTTCCACTACGAAGCACTGGCTGTGCGCCTGGCACTGTGCTGAATGCCTCACCTCCGTTTATTCATCCTCATAGCAACCCCATGAAAACAAGTACTGCTGCCCCACTTCACAGATGACAAACCAAAGCCTGCAGGGTAGGATAACACTGTGAAGTCCCACACAAAGTCTCAAGGGAGGCTCAGGAACAGCCTTTGCAGGCCTTGACCCTGAGCTCTCCCACTTCCCTCAGCAGCTGATGAAGCTCCTGAGTGGCAGGAAGCTGCAGGGTCTCCTCCAGACCCCAACCAGCCAGCCCCTGACTCCTGTCTGTCTCTTTCTTTACAGGAGCAATTTCTTGGGGGACAGCGACTCCTATGGATGTTGTGAAAAGTCGACTCCAGGCTGATGGGGTTTATTTAAGCAAATACAAAGGTGCCCTGGACTGTATCTCCCAGAGTTACCAGAAGGAAGGTCTTAAAGTAAGCCCACAGCAGTACTTTGCACTTTGGCACACGTTTGTTTTCCTCTCCTCATTCAAGAATGTGCTAGTTTCTGTGTTTACACAATAACCCGGCGGGGTCAGTTCAGTCCCTGGAAGGCGGGTCACACATTGGGGGGCATGTGAGAGAATAGAGAAGGGAAATTGAGGTGCAGGTGGTTACCAGCAATACAAGAGAAACTTGTCTCGTCTGGTCCTTGCCCCGGGCTGGTAGAGGAGGTGGGTGTATACCCACCTGACAAGGTTCAGAGAGGACTAGTAACCCACCTGAGGTCAAATAGCTGCTGCGTGGCAGAGCTGGGACCCATACCCACATCTGTGTGTCACCAAAGCTTGCCTTCTCATCGATATAGGCTGAGAGGTCCGTCCTCACTCATTGCCTTCCCCTCCCCGCTCCAAGTGGGAAGTCCCAGAACCACCTCAGTCATCATGTCTCAGAGGTTCCAGCTCCCTGATCTGTCTTCTGCTCCCCTGCCCAAGCAAGTACAGACCCCATCACCCCTGGTCTCAGCTATGGAGGCAGCCTCGTCTCCCTCCTCCTCCTCCCTGCCCCAACTATCTTGTCCTAAACCCAAGCCCCTTCCTGCCTCTAAAATGTCTCAGAATAAAGACTAGACTGCCACACCTGACACCCAAAGTTATAAACAAATTCATCCCTGTCTATCTTGTCTCCCATGACACCCTGAACACCCTCCAAAGAAGCAGTCTTGCTTGCTCTCCCACCAATGGGCCCCTGATTTTCTTGACATGCCTCTCGGGATCAGCAGATTTGAGTTCCCAGCCAAGCTTGGTTATCTGTGAGCTGGAGGAATCCACACAAGTTGCCTCACTTCATTGGGCCTCAGTTTCTCCAAGGATAACCATCCCTACCATGAACGGCAGAGATATTTGTGGGTTAAATTGAATCACGCATATAAAAAGCGCTTATCTTAGTGCATCACACATAGAGAACATTTAGAAAAAGTTATCCATTTGGCATTGGCATTAGTATTGGGAGTATAAGCATTTAAATGTCACCTCTGATCTCTGGGCCTTTTTTTCATGTAGCTGCCTTGTCCCAATCCCTCCAATAGTTACTAAATTGCCCACTCCATTGCATCCAAACTTTATTTATTTTGCTCCAATGGAGTACTGGAACTTCTCCTCTTAAAACCTGGACTTTCCCAAAGGCTGTCTCATCTGTGGGAGCTGCCCAAGTCAGAATTCTCCAGGCACTCATGGACCATGGCCAAAGGGGCTGGAGCCAGTTCACAGATCCTGGCAGGCACCACTGCCAGTGCTGAGGCCTGTCTGCTTATTACCTGGTGTACAAAGGGGTCCCACTGCTCTTGGGTCCCTTGGTATATGGTGCTGGATCCCTCACCTCCCATGAACTTTTCTTTTCTGTTCATGGGTGGACACGGAATTTTTGTTGTTGAGGTGGAGACCAAGCAAGAAATGTGTTGTACTGCTATGGTGCTGACATTACTCTGCCACAGATTCCCCTTTCTTCACAGAGCTTCAAGTTACTGGCCAATGTCATTTCATTTCACCCTGAAGGACTCCGTTGAGCACTTCTTTTGGAGTGCATCTAGTGGTAATGAATTCTCTCAGCTTTTGTTTATCTGGAAATGTTTTAATTTCTCCCTCACTCTTGAAAGGTAGTGGTGCTGATATAGGATTTCCAATTGACTACTTTTTCTTTTTTTCTTTTAGTGCTTTGACTATATTGTCCCATTGTCTTCTGGCCTCTAAAATTATCTTCCTGAGTATCCTTTGTCCAGTGAGTTGCTTCTCTCTTGCTGCTTTCAAGATTATTTCTTTGTCTTTAAAAAGTTTATGTGTCTTGGTATAGGTCATATTTACTTTGAGTTCATCCTACTTGGAATTTATTGAGATCATTTGATGTTTATATTCATGTCTTTCATCTAACTTAGGAAGTTTTCAGCTAGTATTACTTCAAATATTCTCTCTGCCCCTTTCTCTCTTCTCCTTCTGGGACTCCCACAAAGCATATGCTGACTGGCTTCAGAGTTTCCCACAGGTCCCTTAGTCTCTGTTCACTTTTCTCCAGTCTTTTTCCTTTCTGTTCCTTGGCCTTAATTCTTTTCATTGTCTTACCTTCAAGTTTGATGATTCTTCTGTTTGTTGAAATAGGCCTTTGAATCCTTTTATGAATTTTAAATTTCAGCTATTGTACTTTTTAGTTCCAGAATTTCACTTGGTTTCTTTCTGAGTTTTTTTGTTTCTTCACTGATATTTCAATTTCATTCATATATCATTTTCTTGACTTTTGCCACATCTTCCTTCAGTTCTTCAAGCATCTATAAGACAGTTATTTTAAAGTCTTTGTCAAGTAGTTCTGCTAAGAGGTCTTTTTCAGGGACATTTTCTGTTTGTTTCGTATTTATTTGTTTGTTTGTTTTGAATGCCTTATAATTTAATTTTTATTTTTGGTCAAAAACTAGACTTCTGAATCTAATACAGTAGTAATGAGGTAACTCTGGAAATCAGATTCTTCCCTTTTCCAAGGATCAGGTGTGAACTTAGATCCTTTCAGGTGTTTTCTGAACAGCTTTCCCTGAGCATGTTCAGTCACTTTCTAATTTTTCCCAAACATGCAGTTGCTTTTGAATGTCCCCCTTTAAGGGGAAAAGGAGGAAAATGAAGGGGGAAGGGCATTAGCTTTTTTTTTTTTTTTTTTTTTTTTTTTCCTTAATTTTTATTGTTCATATTAATACAAATGTCCCTTCCCACCCAACCCTCTGCCCTTTCCCCACCCCCCATTGTCCTCATCCATAGGTGCACAGTTTATGTTCAGTCTCTTCCCACATCCCCTTCTCCCCTTTTCCCCAAGAATCATCAGTTCACTCCCCTTCCATACCTCTGATTCTATTATATTCAACAGTTAATATTGTCATCAGATTTTTTTTTAATTTCCTTGGTTTTTAGATTCACTTGTTGATAGTTACGTATTTGTTGTTCATAATTTTTATCTTTATTTACTTTCTCTTCTGAAAGAACCCCCTTCAGCAATTCATATAATTCTGGTTTGGTGGTGATGAACTCCTTTAGCTTTTTTTTATTAGTGAAGCTCTTTATCTGACCTTCGAATTTGAGTGATAGCTTTGCTGGATAGATTATCTTTGGCTGTAGGTTCTTACTATTCATCACCTTGAATATTTCTTGCCATTCCCGTCTGGCCTGCATGGTTTCTGTTGAGAAGTCAGCTGACAATCGTATAGGTGCTCCTTTATAGGTAACTATCTGCCTAGCTCTTGCTGCTTTTAATATTCTCTCTTTGTCTTTTGCTCTTGGAATCTTAATTATGATTTGTCTTGGTGTGGTCCTCTTTGGATTCCTTTTATTTGGAGTTCTGTGTGCTTCCTGGACTTGTAAGTCCAATTCTTTCCCCAGGTGGGGGAAGTTTTCTGTCACTATTTCTTTCAATATGTTTTCGATATCTTGCTCTCTCTCATCTTCTGGGACCCCCATAATTCTGATGTTGGATCGTTTGAAGTTGTCCCAGAGGTTTCTTACATCATCTTCAATTTTCTGGATTCTCTTGCCTTCTAGCGACTGCAGAGGAGTGTCTTCTGGCTCTTTATGTTCCAAATCTTTGACTTGATTCTCAATTTTCTGGATTCTCTTGCCTTCTAGCTTCTGCGGAGGAGTATCTTCTGGCTCTTTATGTTCCAAATCTTTGACTTGATTCTTGCGATCTTCTATTCTGTTTTTAGGACTCTGTATAATAGTTTTTATTTCAGACAATGTATTCTTTATTTCTTGTTGATCCCTTTTCATATCCTCATAAGTCTCATTTATTTTATCGGCCTTTTCTAGGAAACTCTTGAAAAACCTTATAAGTGTGGTTTTGAACTCTATATCCAGTCGCTTTTTGTCCTCCATTTCTTTCGTTTGTGATCTATTTGGTTTAGGCATTTTCGCAGGCAGCTTTCCTGATGGGGCGGGGTTTCAGGGTGGAGCCTACGGCTTTGGCTTCCGTCAGCCCCGCCCTATGCGACTCCTGAGACTCAGGGTCCTTCAGTACTCGCTGCAAGCGCCTCTGAGAGAAAGGCACCCTCGATTTTCGCCTGCTGCCAAACAGTCTAGTCTCTCCCCCAATGGGCCCGGAACTGGGGTTCAGTTCATTTGGAAGTGGAGTTGGAGGTGGCGTTCATAGCAGTCTGGAGCCCCTGTCTCCTTCCCGCCAGGCAATCCCGCGGCACAGCCAACCGTCCCTTCTCTGCGCTGCGCCGCCGGGACCTCCTTTCGCCTCTTCCCCGGGGTTCAGCCTTTCAGCCCGGCTCCCTCTGTGTGAGCCTGGGTCCCCGGGGTCTGGCCTAGGCCTGGGGTTCAGAGCAGTCAGAATGGGGGCCAGCACAGTCAGAGTTTTATCTCCTTCCCGCCAGGGAACGCCCGCCAGGCACTCCGCCTCCCTCCTCTCCAGCTCAGTCCTCTCCGCGCGCCGCGTGTCTCCGTACCTTAGGCTTTTCCAGCTCCTCCGCGCTTCCTTCTGGTTTTCTCCTTGCTTCTCGTTGTAGAATTTCCAGTCAGTCAACTTTCCTGTAGTTCTGGGTGATGTCCATTTTATATTTTAGTTGTATTTTGTTGAAATTGTTGTGTGCGGCGCGGCTAGGTGCCTACCCGAGCAGCCATCTTGGATTTCAGTCGGGCATTAGCCTTTTAAATCCCCTGGAATTTCCTTCAGCCAGAGGGGAGGGGCGTGGATCAATGGAGGGTGGGGTTGGGTGAAACAACAATGGCACCTCTCTGACCAGAAACAGCAATCAGTGATCAGAAACATCTTCAGTATTGGGAGGGCTGGGTCCTTTTTGCCTATCCTGGCTCCCATAAGCTGTGTGCAGGCTGCTCCAAGTACAGTGCACAGCTTCCTGCCTCAGGGCTTGCGTGGAGGATATGTAGCTGCTACAGAGCTAAGAGCTGAAATTAACCACAGTTTACTGTCCAAACCTTCAATAAACTCCAGAATTCCAAAACCAGACAGATTCTGCCTGTACAATTGTGTAGGTGGGGAGGCAGATTCCTGCATTTCTTGCTCTGCCCTCTTCCTAGAATCCACACCTCAATTGTCTCTTCTTTTTTTGGCAGAAGCACAGTTTGTGATTCAACCAAGAGTACACATAGGAGAGAATGTTTTCATATGAGATGTTTCTGTCTGTTATCTGAAATATTAATGTCATAATTCTAAAAATGTCTGTAGAGGCAAAATATATTGCTGATATTATTTCCTTCAAAACTTCTGCTGCTCAGTAAAAAAAAAAAAAAAAAAAAAAAAATGTCCTTGAGGGCAACTAAGGCCAGATAATCCATTTTTAAATCTCAATTGCATTTGGTCCATAGTTTATAGTCTGAAATAGGTTTTAAGCAAAGATAGTCATATTCAGCTTGATTAATCATCTCATTGACTCAGGTTAATTTTTAAATTTTTTATTAGAAGGTTAAAAAAAGATTATGTATGAACATAGGAAGTTTCAAAAGGTATATAAGAAGATATATTGTCTAAATATCACTCTGGTGGTTCCCAGTACCTTCTCAAAGGCAATCGCTGTTATTTCGTGTGATGTATTCCAAAAATATTCGCAGCCTGTGCATGCATATATATGTGTATGGATACTTATGTATATTTGTATGTTTGCATATAAATAATATATGGTAACAAAAATTCCCACACCGTCCTGGAAGGTTGGATTGTCTTACCATCATATTGGTAGCAGTAGGAGGAACACCTTTTTCCAGGGCCGAGAGATGGCTCCAGTCCCATTTGGCTTGAGCACTGCTTTGTGGAATACCCACTCCAAAACACTTTGACTGCAGCTCCCTGAGGGGTGTACAAAGCCCTAAACTGTTTCCACTTTCCCCTGGGAGAAGAACTCAGTGGTAAGAGAGAACTGGAAAGCAATAAAATGATGGCAATGTTCAATGTTAGTAGCCCTTTTCGTAACTCTATTAATGGTTAGCAGTAAAGCAGCCTTCATAATGGCATTAGAAATCCATGATTTAGGGCATTCCTGAGTTTTGGATCCATCTTCTGCCTGCTGTGAGGATCGCTGTGGGCCACATGAGCCATGGTTCATGCTTGGAGAGCTGTCATCTGAAATAGGATGCTGGAGGAGTGACTTGGAGTCCTTGTGAAGGGATTTGGGACAGTAAGATGAGAATGGATAACTCTAAGGAGAGACAGAGAGGAGCATTTGTAGTAGAAAGCTTCCTGAAGCAGCAGGGTTGGTTGCTCTTTGGTTCTGCAAAATGGGAGGGTCTAGAGCATTCTCTCCACTCCAGGAATCCCCCACTATCACATCACACTGGGACTCTTTCAGCTCAGAAACCATGCTTCTGGTATCAATGAGTCCTTCCTTCCCCTTCCTTCCTGCCTTCCTTCCTTCCTTCCTCTCATCCATCCATTCATCCATTGATTCATTTAATACGATCTATAGAGTAGCAGTCGGCAGCTGGTGGTCCATAGACCACTGGTGGTCCGTGAGGTCAAAAAGGTTGACGACGCTGCTATAGAGGGTCCTCTAGGCCAAGCACAGAACAGGCGCCGGGGGTTTGGAGAGGAGCCACACACACAGCCCTGCTCCCACTGCCCTTACTGGGATTCTTAATGAAAGGATGGGCCAGTCACGGGCCATTGGCAGGGGTGTGAGAAGTGCCGTGATGGCAGAGAGATGAGTGCACAGAAGGCACGGCACCATCATCCACCATGGGTGCCTTGGGAGGACTACTAGAGGGCATAGCCAGACTTGGGAGCATCCCAGCAGAGGCCCAGCGGTGAAGAGAGGTGGTCCCTTAGGAGGAATGACGGGTTTTTAGACTGTCCAGAGTGACAGGTGCGAGATGTAAGAGGCAGTCCAGGGAAAGAGCAGGAACAGAGGGTGTGGGTCCTGACAGGCCAGGGAAGGTGTTCTCTTGACCTTGGGCAGTGGGGAGCCATTGAAGCTTCATGAGGAACAACTCAGTGCAGTGTTTTTTGTGTTCTGAGAGCCACAGTGAAAGTCAGAAGTGTGCATTTTGTTAGCCACCTTACAGCCTCGCAGAACAGAGGCAGAGCGGCTGCAGCTGTTGGAGGGAGGAGTGTCTGTCTGTCTGTCTGTCTGTCAGTCTAAAGTGGCCTAGAGCTCCTGCAGGGCCCAGTGCTGTGGGACAGGAGGATCTGCCTGGCTTGCCTTGCAGGGGAACCTCTGAGGCACCTAGCAAGGAATTTCCCTCCAGAGCCTGATCTGGTTCCTGGCTGTTATTCAGTCACTCAGGGTGAGCCTGTGGAATTCCAGAGAGGTTACACATGAGAAAGGAGAGCTAATGTCGCAAGGATCCCCAGTGCCCCCTACCTGAATTGCTCCAAGGTTTGGAGGAGCCACTTGCTCACCTCTTGGATCCTGTCTATCAGCTCCCTTCCTCCAGGACCCAGACTTGCCAAGTTCACGAGGCCCTCTCTCCGCTTCCATCCAGCTGCGTCTCCCGGGCTGCCATGGAGTGGCAAGACGCAGGCACCGCTCCTGAAGGAAGGTCCCATGTCAGTGGCCTACACCTACCCTGACACCATAGTGCCCGACTAAGCAAACAGGGAATGCAAAGGGCTGGATTTCCACTTCCCTAAAATTACAATACCAGCCCCAACTCATAAATGTAGTAAATTATACAGGAGTCAGTTAACAGAGTTGCATCTTATGCCTGACAGTTACCGGGTCATTTATGCTTGGATAGGAATTTGCCTTTAGATGTTTTGTCCAGGGAGGACATTTAAGGACAGTTCCTCTCTACCCCACTGCTCACCAAAGCCCTTATCTATTCTCATCACATTCTACATTATGTTGTAATTATTCCTGAGTGGGGCTTAGCTCCTTTAGTAGGTTATAAACTTTCCAAGGGCTGGAATTAGGTCACATTGATTAGTGTCTTCTTGCACCAGGCAAGAGGATTCAGGGAGGAGGGAAAGCACCTTATCGTATTCCCTGGGAGGGAAGGCAAACAGTCCACTTGTATTAAGGCCAAGGCTAGCGGCTCATCAACAGGCCACCTCCCTGAGGCACTCACACGAGTGATCGAGGTTGGGTGCCACTCTGTCCAAAGCAATGACTTTAGATCACAAGGATGGTGATGTGCTAGTCAACACTGAGTCCGTCCTCCACAGCAGTCATTTCTTTTATTCCCTCATCAACTGTATCAGGTCAGTAGCATGATCACCCCCCTTTTACTGTTGGAAAATTAAGATTCCAGAGGCTGCCACTTGCCTAAATAACACGGCTACTAAGTGGCACAACTGTGCCTCAACCCTGTGTCTGCCCTCTTCACACGGCCTGAGTTCTCCCCACTGGTCCCTGGGGATGTGCCAGGAAGCACCTGTCACTGTATTGGTTGGAGCTGGTGCTCTGTCCACCATTGCAAAGAGGAGGAGGGAGTTCTGACTTCTAGATTCCTGAAAATCATGTGTGCACACACATGTGTGTGCATGTGTGTATGTGTGTGCTCACAAGAGAGGGCAGCAGTTAAGCAAGGAGACGTGGTGTTCACAGTACTCAACAGTTTTGTCACAGTGCATGTGGGCCAGGCCTGCAGGAGAAGTGCCATCCGACATGACCCGGGTCAGGGCAGGGCATGGCTGGGCATCCCAGGCAGCACAGGTGCTTTGGGCTCTGCAGGGCCCAGCCCGAGACAGGCCTGCGCGGGCATCACCACCAGCCCCGCCCCCTACCCTCGCTGTGGCCCTGCAGAGGTGATAATGCCGTCCCCTGTCACAGGTGTTTTTCAGAGGCATCACGGTGAACGCTGTGCGGGGCTTCCCCATGAGCGCAGCCATGTTCCTGGGGTACGAGCTCTCGCTGCGGGCCTTCAGAGGGGACTACCCGGTGACCAGCCCCTGAGCGCCAGGTCAGTTGCACCTCCCAGAGCTTGAAACTCTCTTCTTAGCCATGAAAATGTCTCCCTGCATTGGTTTCCTGTCTAATCTGTGTTAATCCTCAGAAGTAGGACTCAAACCAGGGTACCCACCCCTGTCACACGGGCACCATTTTCCCATCTTCCAACTGAACTCACCGCCTGAGTCTGAGAGCCACCAGCAGGCTCCCAGAATTCTAGAGGACAGCCTCTGCCCCATTTCCTCACACACCCCCACCCTCCCCACCCCCCACCCCCACACACATACCCTTTCCTTCTCCTTTCTTTATTGCAGAAAGATCACTGGCCCAAAGCATCTAAAAACAGAAATCTGAGTAAGAGACTCCCTTGCTCAAATGCCTTCAATGGCTCCCCATTACCCACTAGGTAAAGCATCAGTCCTTAACCACCTCGTCCACACCACCATCCTCTGTAAACTATTCTCACTCTTATTTCTGTGACTGTGCAATGCTGTCCCTGTCCCCAAGCTGTTTTCACACTTTTCCCATGGTTCTTGGCTCATCAACTGTCATCCAGGTCTTTGTCTAGAAGTCTCCTCCTCCAGGAAGCCTGCCCTGATGCCTCAGCCAGGAGTTGTGCCCACTATAGGCTCCCTCCCACAACCCCTGCTCAGCCCCTACCACTTCCCCCTGCATGGTAACTGCCTGGTGGTTTTTCTCACTCCCAGCCAGCATGAAAGTCCCAGAAGAACTGTGACTGTTATTTCACCTCAATGGCCTGTGTCTCCTCACAGAGCTTGACACATGAATGGCCACTCACAAATATCACCAAGTGGCCAGAAGGTCAACCTTCACTATCTTCTCAGTTCTTTCTCTCCTTCTCCTCTCTTTTCTCTCCTCCCCTGGCCCAAACCGGTCCCTCACAGAGCTCAGAGACAAAATGAGTCTGAGGAGGTGAGTGGCTGGCTTTTCTAGTTGCCCAGAAACAGGTTTGCTTTGGCTCTGGTGACTGCAGGTTTTCTCAGGAAGGATGGTCTTCATTAGGACTGTCTAGCAAACCTCCCTTGAGGAAGCTGGGCCCTATGGGATGCCTGGACAGGCCGGGGGAGGACAGGGCAGATGGAGCTGGCTAGAGGAAGCCAGGGATTGCCCTGGACATGAGCTTTAGAGCCAATGCTTTCAGCTCTTTCCTGAAGCACCCACATTCACAGCTTCCCTGGCTTTTTCCCCTCTCTTATAAAAGGAAAAGAGCAGCAATGCCTTTCGCATAATTAAACATCTTGGGTGCTAAGTTACTGTACTAGGGTATGTCCAAGGCAGGGGAGGGAGGTCTGGTTCTTAAAGCTTTGCTCAGATATGGGCCATTCCCCCCTTTAAAAAAAAAAAATCCTATAATAAAATCAATGCGTTTTATTTCTAGAAAACTAGAAAAAAGAAATAAACTGAAAGAACAGCAACAAAAACCCTATCATTCCAAGACCTTTCTATTATTTTCTGTGTTTTTTATGTGTAGCCCCAAAATGGGATCCTACTTCCCACGATGTTTTATAATCTCTCCTGTTTAACAGTCCAGGACCGTCGCCCATGTCCTTAAGTCTTCAGCTGCAAGGTGGTTTAATGCCAAGGCCTGGCCGATCCCAGCCTGGCTGGACGCTGGCCGGAGCCGTCGCAGTCTGTCACTGTGACCACCCTGGTGATGGGCTGCTTCAGGAGGAAGGAAGGAGTTTCTAGCACACCAAACCCCGATTGTTCTGGACTCGGCCATTCGGGCCAGTGACCACCCCGACTGGAAGCATTTCTTCCTGAAAGTGCTCTGATCATCCAGGGCACAGATGTCTGCTGGGTGGGAGGAGACGGGTGCGCCCAGCAGGAACTGGGGGGAGGGTGTCCCAGAGACTTTTCTGGAGCCCCATTTAAACAAGCCTCACCCCAGGAGACCAACTTCCTGCTCTGACCCAAGAACACCAAGACCCTCTCACAGGTCGTGGCTTTGAATTCACCCCCAGCTCTGAGATCTCGGGCCAGTCATGGTTCAGGCCAGGGTAGCATCCACGCTTCGAGCACATGGAAACCAATGCCTCCCTCCCTCCCTCCTAGTCTAAACTGGAGACAGTGAGATGATGTCATTGGAGAACTAGGAAAGTCGGATGGTGACCATCTCAAAAGTGCCCAGGGCAGGAGTGGGATCCATGGAATTGCTTTCCAGTGCCTGCAGGACACAGCAGTGCCAGTCAGCATCAGCCTCCATCTAACAACCAGATGATTACAATTGTTTCTCCTCCCCCCCCCATAGCTCCCCTCCACCCAGTTCCCACCCCACCTTCTGCCCTTACCTCTCCCCGCCTCCCCCGTCCCCCCACCCGCACTGTCCTCATCCATAGGTGTACGATTTTTCCATCTAACAACCAGATGCAGAGCGCTCCCCTGCTCCAAAACTTCCTCTTCACCCGCCTGCTCAGTTAGCTCTCTCCGGGTCAACACAAGAGTGACCCACGGACCATTTGCACCCACGTGAAAGCTGCGTGATGTGGTGGTTTCGTGATATGGTTTTATCTGTTCACATGGGGAAACCGAGTCAGGCTATGCGAGGGAGATGACCTTTGTGATAGAAAGGGGGCCCGGCCACTGATCAGCGGTCAGTTCTTGGGCTTGTCTGAGGCCTGTGAACCCAGTGCACCACGCCTACCTGTCCACCTGGATCCCCCACTTCCAGAACTTTCCAGAAATAATGCTGTTCTGCCCCTGCCATGACTTTCGTGCTCCAAACCTCATGTCAGGAAAATTCATTTTCATGTCAGAAAAATTCAATGTTAGGAAAATTCATTTTCAAGGGAAATAGATACAGTTTCTCTCCCACCCATTTTTTAAAAAATATGCAAATATAGTGGAACTCTGGTTCTCAAATTTAATTCATTCTGGAAGGCTGTTTGAAAACTGAGTCTTTTTTCCCCATTAGAAATCATGTAAATAGAATGAATCCATTCCAGACCCCCAAATGATTCCCCTTTAATCTTCCTTTCTTTAAAATTTTCTCCCAATTTTTCTCCCCTTTACCCCCCCCCCCTCCACCGTTACCCCACCCCAGGCCTTCACCACACTATTGTCTGTGCTCTCGTTGGTTATGCATATATGTATATGAGTCCTTTGGCTAATCTCTTTCCATCTCCTCCTGCCCTTCCCCCTCCATCCCCCCCCCCCATATATCAGTGTTGTATACCTCCATGTTTATGGATCTATTTTGTTCATCAGTTTATTATATTCATTAGATTGCACTTATAAGTAAGATCATGTGATATTTGTCTTTCTCTGACTGGCTTATTTCACTCAGCATCATACTCTCAGTATCTATTACATACAGCACATGCCTAATGTACTGTTTAATCTATAAACAGTTTAAAACAAAAAGGACATGAAATGTAAATTTAACAAAAAGGACATGAAATGTACAGTAAAAATTAAATTTTAATAATAATAAGCAGCAACAAAACACACAGCACAAATAGTCACAGCACAATTTCCTGAGAAGTTAACATGCAGTTTAGCAATAAACTGACTCATAGTCATGCATTCTATCTTTTGTTATTCACCTAAGCAATGTCTGACTGACCATACAGGTAATAGCACAAAAGGGTTGTCAGGTTGAGAAGCCAACTGTTGGAGATGGGAGATGTTCGGTACAGAGAATCAAGGTTTGACGGTAACCTAGACAAACCTCTTAGCCTCCCACTGGCCTGGTCTCATGGTGAATTTTTGCCAGTGGATGCTTCACCCAAGCAGCTCTGAGTGGGTGGTTTGACTGTTAGATCTTGCTGACTGGTTGTATGAAAGCCTTACCTTTCCTCCTTTTCCCCCAGGGCCAGGGCAGGTGTCATGGACCAGAACCTCATTCCCTGCAGGGCGAGGCCTCTCCAGAACCTGCTAACCTCCAAACCAAACCCCTTCCCGATTGCAAGCACTCTGCTCCTCCCCTCCGAGCTGGACCATTGATAGATCGCCACTTATTTTTTATCTGCACTGGCACCCGGCAGAAAGTGGGGCGACATAGACCTGCTTCCCACGACTGCTGTAAACTCACGGGAAATTCACAGAGGCACTGGAGTTGTCTCTAAGTTTCCAAATAAAAACAATGAAAACTTCTTCAGGTCATTTCTGTATCGGATGCTTCTGCCTGGCTTCCAAGAGACACAGGCCATCCTCTTCTTCCCTCTGTTTAGACCCCTGTAGACGTCACCAGTGAAGAGGCCACTCCACGCAGGTGAGAAGTCTCACTTCCCTTTTCCCAGCTGCCTACGGAGGGCAGGGAGGGGGCGGCGGGGGAAGGGGCCACGGAGTGAGAGGAAGCCCTGCCGGCACTCTCCCCACGCAGCCTGCACTCCAAAAGCGGGGCCCTGAGTGCAGGTGGGGTGGGCGTTCTCGGTGCCTTCTTTTCACATGGAGAACAAAATGAGGCAAAATAAAATGCTTTGTCCACAGCCCGATTTCCAGAATGATGTCATGATTCTAAATTGTGTTTCTCACTGGAGCCATCTGGGGAGGCCATTGCTCGTGTGAGTGATGTCACTCCCAGTTTTTGTGTCAACAACAGGCATCTTAATGAGGCAGAGAGCCTCCGCTGTGGAGTTGGAGGCAGCTTCAGAGTCGTCCTCAGCACAGTGCCTGAGCAGCCACCACCCGTCAGTCAGAAGGAATCTACTTGCTATTCCTGGCTTAAAACCAATGGTGAAAATATCCTTAGATTTCTTTTCTCTCCCCCCTCTCCATGATTTCCCTACTCCTTTCCAACCCTTTGAGCGATTCAGAAATGTCTCTGCAAATTTCCTGCCCTACCAGACCCAGCACCAAGGCACAGCACTGCTCAGGCATAAAGAAGTTGAAGGTGGTCAGCCTCATTGTTTATCCTGATGCTTCAGCAAAGGGTTCCCTCCTTGAAATAAACCCTCAGTGTGCCCTCCTTGATCTTCCTGCCTCACAGCCCCTGGCAATGGGTGTGTGTGTGTCCCTCGGGCAGATCTACAGGCTACAGTCCA